TAATGTGGACCCAAGAGGTTCCAGGTAAAACCCATTATAATGAATACCTACTGCAAATAACCACTGGATCAAAATATCAGCATTTAAATATATCATTTAAGTGAATTTTCACATAAGAAGTCAGAATTAGAAGGAATAGTTTAAACCCTGTACTGATGTCGCTGATATCCCCTGATTTTTATCTTCTTACAGCAGTGATACTTAACTAAATTGTATGAAACTTTGGACAAACTTACTAAACAGCATTTAGTTTTGGCTTAAAAACATTCAAGGAATTTAATATTTCTATCAATGTTTAAGTTGTGAAATTTCCAAAATTTTGTTGTAAGACAATGTTTTTCAAATAACATTAAAATTACTTACTTTCATCTTACGAGTTTTATTTTTGTTTACTGGAGGGGAGGCAATGTTCTTCTTGCCCAGGACCCCAAGAATTATTAATTCACCTCTGATTATTAGTATATGAAAACTTTTCCTTTGATGTGTTAATGTTCGTAGTTCAAGTACTTGAGTTCCATTACAATATCATGAATGTTTCTCAAACTAAACTACTCTCTTTCAGATGTTTTAGGTCATAAACAATCCATGTCGAAAGGTTATCATGTAGAAAAATATTGATAAATGATATGCTAATATCATATTAAGTAAAACAGATTTCCACTACTCTCCCATTTTACATTTACTTTAATACTTATAAAGCCTCCAGTACAACTCTCAAAAGTGGTCAGTAATAATTAGATGACTGCCATGGGTAGAAAGCTCTTCTGAGGAAGATAATCTGCACAAAGATAATCTGTCACCATTTAGATTGAAATATCTTCCTAGTTTTTGCAACTTAACAACATATTTCTTTATGGCAATCAGTCCATAAATTTTATGGGCGGAGTAGTTTGAGCTTAAAGGTTTTTGTGAGAGTGCTAGAGTTATGAAGAACAAAGGAGCTTGATAATGAAAATATAAACTCATGGTATATTTGACTCGACTGAACTGTGGTGTCAGTCTGTTGATAAATGAACTCTCTTTCATAAAGAGGCTATGTTAGTTATTAGAATGAGAATAATTTGAAGTGACTACCACATCAAATTCATTTAAGGTATATTCAATTATACTTGATTTAAGTGGCACTTTTAACTTTACATGTACTTTCACACAGGTCTACAGTGAACAACTTTACAAAATAGGAAACCAAGAGAGATAGCCTGTATCTGTTATGTCACTTTATATTGGTAAAAAGGCTTTGTATATAAAAATGTATTGGATAAACTGATGAGGCAATATGATTCATGTGAAGGGACAGTGTAAATCGAATGTCTAATGTATTAACAAGCAACGTATCATAGTACCTCAATTCCTCCACCTTATAATGAATCTCTTGTTGATGCTGTAATAGATTGCTAACAAAAATCTCTAAAACTACATTTAGAATTCTGAACCAACACTAGAGACCACAAAAGTTAGATCATTCAACTATAAATACAGAAATTTTCAAGATAAAGTAATAAATTATCAAGAAAACTTGTTTTGCAGAACCTTCTCATAAAAACAGCAGAAGTATTAAACGGGTAGGTTTATTTGGTAATAGCAACATTACCCACAGACACAAAACAATCTATTCTTATATTCTTTTAGGTCATTGATATTTGTGGACAAGAAAAACTTGTTTTGCAGAACCTTCTCATAAAAACAGCAGAAGTATTAAACGGGTAGGTTTATTTGGTAATAGCAACATTACCTACAGACACAAAACAATCTATTCTTGTACTCTTTTAGGTCATTGATATTTGTGGACATATTTAAGTTGGTCTAAATATAGATACTGAAAGTATCCCACACTCTAAATTCAGAAAACGGCTAAAATAGGGTAGAAAAAATATATCAAATAATAACGTTTTGAGTAGGCATCATCAGGTACTTAACACAACAGTCAACTGTTGTTGAAAAAAAAATAAGTAGAGCTTGGTGATTCCTTATGAGGTATAAGGTGCCTACAATGTTTTATTGGGATCTTTATCATCAGCAAGAGACAAAAATTGGCAAATTTCATAAAAATTTCTGGATTATTGCAATTTTGTTTTATTTCACATTGTTAACAAAATCTCTTTTTCCTCATTACAGTTTACTTTTTGTGGCATTTATGTTTTCTCTTTCATTTTGCTTACAAATACTAGAGTTGCTTATTGTGCCTTAATAACTGGATGAATTTCACTGTTTTCAGTCTACTGATAAGTAGATTCTGTGTAAAAGGAACTGCATTTGTCACTGGTATTACTTGAGATCTTAAGAAGATTTATATAAATAACTGTCACTCGCTCAAAGTGTGTTCCAGTATACTTCATTTAGTTGTTATTTTAGCATCTGCATTATTGTTAACAAGCATTGAAATCCATCTTGTGGTACAGCATATATAGCCTGTAAGCAACAAAGACATGTTAATTGATAAACAAATAATAGAGGTTTTTCATTTCTAGTGATCCGTCTTTGTATCTTAAAAACAGCTACAAACAGTATGCAGATTTAAAAATACATTCTATCTGTGAGTGTGTATAAGATCTGTGAACAAGTTTAAAAAAAAATACTTCAATGAAAATGCATTTACAATAATTAATTTAAGACTGAAGTTCACGAGTTCTATGATTTATGGCTTTGCTTATTGGTATGGTTTCTACTTTTAAAGTAATAGCATTTTTACATTACTGTGCATGTATATATTCTGTATCATTACTGATTTCAAAAACATTTTATTTTTCAAAATTTAAAGTATATATATACACAAACACAATCACATGTTTAAACTGTTTTTGTTTTTTTATTACAATGTTCTGTAATAATGTTTGTCCAGAGAGAAACTAGTTTCAGACAATACATGCAAATTTCATGTCAGATATGATGATTGTTTTACATAAAGCCTACAAAATGAAAAGCCTGGAAGTTCAATATGCAAATATCAAGGTCACAAAGGTCTTGAATTTAGAAGGTCTGACTTTGTGATATGAAAAATTGATGTATCATTTGTTGGCTTCTGTTATAGTATTACACTGTATAAATTTGTCTTTTATGGATTAATAAAATGTAGAACAAGAATTGATGAAAAGTAGAATAAATCTATAAATATCTTAGTTCAACTAAATTAAGGAGAGTAAAAATGTTTTTCCACAGTAACTAAATACCTATGTGTGTATAATATGTTCAGGATAAAAGGAATCTATTCCAATTCTCATCACACAATGCCTTCTTGCAATTATTACAAAAAATATCTGATAATGGTAAAGCTCTATGGAGCTAACCAACCTGACTCATGTGAAAAGAGAAATTTTTCTAATGTATTTCTATTGGAGAATAGTCTAACGCTGGGATTGTTAGTTTCATAAACAGAAGGCTGCAAAACTAGTCAAGTGATAAAAAAGTCTATTTACAATAACAGGTAAATAGTTTATTAAACACAGTTATAAAAACATATAAAAAAACAAAAAAAGTTCAAAAAACAATGTTTCATATTAAACTGACAATTTATGAAACTGTGACTCATACACTTAAAAAGGGTATAAAGATAAAGGAATCAATGAAGTAATTAATATTTTCATTAATAAGAATGATGTTCATACCTTATTTTTTTCTTATCTGAAACTGAATTATATTTCAAATGTGATTCATTGACACAGTGACCATATAAAGTTGGCAAAGACTATTGTTTTTGAATAAATAGCTGTATATTATATAGCATAAGGAAATATTTAAACAAATTTTTACACAAATTAGTTCAGTTACTTAGATGGTTGTGTACAGTTCTTAACTCTAGTCGAATATTTCTTAAATTGTTAAACTTAGGCAAAGTAGAATTCTAAGTATTTTTTATCACCTTAATCCTATGGATACAGGCTTGGTTAGATGGACTGATCTTGTAACCACTAAATAATCATGACATTATACATACTATAAGTCTAAATATATTAACCGCATCTTCACAAAACTTGAGAAGCTTTTAGTAAACATAAGTATGTTGTACATAGAAAATCAGTTTTTAATAAAGTATTATTAATAAAGATTGGTCTTTAAATTTACAAAGTCTTTACTGTGTCAGCCTGAGTAAAATGTGATTTTCATGCAACGAATTAAAATACTTGTTTTCATTTGACATTTTCATATTTCCTTTGCATAGCTTTTAGAACATCTTAAATGAATATTTTATTTTATTTTTGGGGAGGGGGTAACACTTTACACATTTTCCCTGCTTTAACATTGACTGTAGTGAAATCAGTGTACAGTAAATGAAAAGCTGAAAAATATGAAATTAAATCAAAAATTCCTTTTTTTTCTAGAATGACTGCAGACTGTAACTGATAGTTACAATCTACCCTAACAGCTTCAGACCTCTTAACCTTTTTCGCAACTACTTTCATTAAATTTTACTGCTTTATTGTTCTTTGAACCATGTCTAACTAGTGTAACACAGCAATAAATCACTCAGTGTGAATTTAGGGTAAGCAAACTATCAAATTACATCACCAAACAGTAGCCTGCATGCATTTCTCCAAAAGAGGTTATGATAATTTGTTTTATTCAATCTTTTTTTTTTCATTTAAGTTTTCTTATCTAATAAGTTTCTTATTTTCTATATTCTAATTACTTTTGTTAAAATATATACAACAATAAATAAAAAATTCATGCAAAACAAAACAAAGATTAACTTTTAGCCTTGAGGCCTTTTACACTCAGGTATGTGGCTTAGTAAATTTATTTTTTTATTCACTATATTGGTTTACCAAATATACTTCATGCAGCTTACAAATACATATTTTACAACAGAAAAGATATATAAGGCACTGAAATAGAATGTTAAAAAACTACGATAATTTATCTGGCTTTCAAACTAACCTATAAATAGGTTTAAAAAATTCACTACTCCTTGGAGAAATTTCTTTAGTTTAATAAACTAGCTTTCCTTGTAAACTACCAGCTTTGACTGCTAAAACAAAACAATCATCTGATTTATGTAGTTTAGAATAAGCTCTTTCTATTGGTTAAAAATATACTTAAAAGCAATTGTCAGAGAGATTTATAGACATTACTTTCCATATGGGTCAGTCGATATAACTGACACTGTAACCACAAAGTAACCATCAGTTTCCAAAGTATAACTTTTAAAATGTTTTGTGTCTTCAAAGAATGCAGCAGGCTTTTAGTAAGCATTATAAGTCTTTTGTACATATAAAACCAGATTTTTTTAAAAGTATTTCTACTGAAGATATGTTTGTAAATATATGAAGTCAGAGTATTGACTGTTTTGAGTGTAAATTGATTTTCACGTTAAGATTAAAAATACCTGTCTTTACCTGAAAATTGCTTTTTTGCTGTTGGTTGTCAATGAGATTTAATTCTACTTTTTTTTTATAATGATGGCACTAGTACACTAAACAATTTTTATTTACTTAAATAATGCACCTAAGAACACAGAATAACAACATAGTCAGAGCAAACAACACTGTATAACTATCATAATTTAACTGGGATTCTACCTATGGCATTAGTAGTCTTAAAATAATTTCATAAGCTTCTCAATCTGAGCATCGTGAGAGAAACTTTCAAACTGAAGACAAAATAGACAATACTCCGTACTGAAAATAATGTCATATAATAAGTCATTTGATAGATTTAAAACTTTGTCTTTCTATTGGTTATAAATGATATATGTAAAACATCAGAGAGAATTATTGGCAATTTAAGAAAGAAGTGGTCATGGCAAGCAGGTCTGACTTCCTAGTTTATGTGTCCTTAAACAAAGAAAACTGAAGGTTATAAAAACTTACTTTGCCTTAGTAATAGCTACATTATAATGAATAATTTATTTTAAACTCTATACTTCAGAGATGGGTAGTAAATAAATTAAAGAATGGGCAAAACCCACAAAACAAATGTCATGATTCTCACACAAGGGGAGATTGAGGATTTATTTAAATATTTCCTTTTAAAATTAAGGCTTATATAATATTAAAATTTGATTTAATAACTATGATTTGATGCAATGTTTATTTGTATACATTGATAATAAAGTAATTTAATTATATTTTGAATGTAACTCTGTAAAAAGTCATGACATGCACACTTTAACCTAGTCAAAATAATAACATTAAAAGACAGGAGTTATGGGAGAGGAGTGTGTTTGAAATTTTACATTCTGGTTTGTCAGTATTCTTTAACTAGTTGAACAATCTGAAGCCCTTATAAGGGAAAATAAAAAAGATGTAACTAAGAAGTTAGAGCACCACTATATCATGTGACTCACATATGCAGACTGAGAATTTATTTAACTATTTCCTTTTGAAATTAGGAAACTAAACTTAGGTTATATAAATATTTGAAATGTTAAATATATTCTGTTGCCAAGTTTATTAACATATATTGATAACAAAGTGGTTTAATTAAATTTTGAGTGTAACTCTGTAAAAATTTTGTGACATGAGCACTTTGACCCTCCTGTTTCTGTACAGTTAAATACAAATACTAACATTATGAAATACAGGTGGGTAACTACCTATGCATTTTAATACACATAGTGTATTTAAAACTTCATTAATTAATAGAGATTGAAGTTCAACACTCTTTCAAATAACACAAATGTATACACATATAAAATCATTGCTTTAATAACTGTAAATCTATAAAAACTTACCAAAGGATTTGTAAGATACATCAATCTGCGGTTATCCAGTGTAAACCACCTACGTCTGTAAGCATCACCAGCCCTAGGACCTTTCTTTTTCAACCAGCCTTCTTTGAGAAACTCCCGTGTGAGTTGCTGAGCTAGCTCTTGGATATCAGCTTTTGGAAAAGCAATTTGTAATCGGTTGAGCTTAGCAGACCTAATGGCCATATACCAATTCACAATATCCTGAAGAAAAATATTGTAAATTGTTATTTTAAGTTACTATCTTTTACTTAAAATAAGAGGATAATGAAAATAGAAAGTAATCGACAGAGCTTCTTAAGAACGTAAGGAAAATCCTGATATTCCCTATATGCATTTTATAAACAGGATCATATATGCAAAATTACAGTTCAAGAAAAGAAGTTCATGAGACTGAACCTAATACAAGAAGCATCTGGAGTTAGTATTTTCCTTACCCAAAAATGTATTTCAGGTCAATTCATCTTAGCAGATCAAAGATCTATTACTTAATACATCAGATGAAAACATTTTGTGCATGCACAAACCTTGTATAGAACTCCCACCCTTATGGTATTAACATGGATTTTACCAACCTTTGATTTAATCATCGTTAGACTATAGCTCTCCACCAATAGGAGAGAAACACCTTATCTATGGGCAGAAACTCCATGAGCACTAGAGTTACAACAAAGGCTCATTCTTGAAGAGGCAAAAGAAACACATTGATAGTAGGGAGGAAAATTGGGTGGTTCTGCAGAGAGATAAGTATCTCTCTGAAATACATTTTCAGGTAAGGAAAATGAAACTTCAGGAAGGTACTAACCTCTCTCCAAAACAAAGGGAGTATAATCCCACATTCATAATATAGATATAAAATAAAAACAATAGGCTTATTTCTGATATTATAGTTTCAAAAAGGAAAATCCACAGAAGGGTAGCCTAGCTGGGTATTACTCAGTGGGAGACCATATCCTTCTCATACAGTAAACACTCCACCAAATAAAAGGTGGCAGAGCAAAAAGTACTATGAAAAGAACCTTCTGCATGGTGCTAAAGAAGATTGATCAACTGGCCATTATATCTTGGGCAGTCAGTACAGCATGTACATGTAGTGTGGCTAAGGCAATAAATCACACTGTAACAGAATAAGCAGATGAAGGGAGGAATCATCCCATTCCTGCATTCAGGGGAGAATACAAGACTCATCTGACTAGACTATTCATCAGAATAATTCTTAGTGTACAAACCCAATCTTACTTCCACTGTTTGGTGTTCAGAGGAGTGGCAAAAGTAACAGTGAGAGGCATGCCTAATTTAGATTGAACCCCACAAAAAACTTGAGGGTAGAGAGGCCACCTGTGAGTAAACCCCTGTCCAGCTAAAACCCAGGTAATAATCCAAAAACATGCTCCTTTTCATTTTTTTTGAGCCTGTGACCTATCGTGCAGATATTACGTACTGTTGCACCCATTTCAAATACGTCTAGACTCACAGACCAGAGTACATTATTACCAAGAAGTTTCAATTAGACATAACACACTAAACATGGAAAATAATATAATTTGCTTTAAAGATAAAACTTTTTCTTTTATATATATCCTTGCTATAATTAAATCAAAATCATGTTAGGTGTTAGCAGGTTAGGCATAGATGGTATTATTATACTTTTTTTTCTTTCTTTCTTTAACAAATTGTCACTTGCTGCATTCTTACTATTTGGCATCTTTCTTTCTCATAACTAAGAAAAGATGTAAAGACAATACTAGGAATGGTAATAAAAGTTTAAAATAATGAATACAAAAACCCATTGTTCTCAAGAAAAAATGCATCTGAACAAAACAGCACTGAGAAAAAGAATAAACCTTTGTTATATTGCTGGTGCACATGGGGTTTACTGCTCATGGCAGATGTGTCACCCTAGTATTGGTGGAGGACTATAGTCTAATTAAGACTACATCACAGATTGGTCCAGTCCATGTTAATAGGTGTAGGGGTGGAAGTTTGTACCAAAATCTTCTCAGCAAACATGTGAGGTAATAAGAGGTGAGTACCATTTCTGAAGTATATTGTTATAAGTTTCTGTTGAATCAACTCAATTTACAAAGTATATAGTATTGTCTTTAACACTACTTTTTAGGTATTAATAATGTTAGCATAAAAATTTACATTACTTTTCCTTAAATAGTCATAAATGGTTTTAATAGTATGTTTATACAAACTTTTAATTTTACAAATTTAAAATAAATTAATAAACATATTCTCTGACTATTTTAGTTCTCATACACTTATATGAGTGGCTTTAATATTAATAATATTCAGTGCTAATTATAAATATACATTTTAGGACAACTGGAAAGAATGTTAAAATATCACAATGGAAAATGTCTTAGTAGTTATAGGTCTACTAAAAATTTCTATTGACAAATTGAAGATAAGTTACAAATATATATTGAAGAATACAAGAATCAAACAAAAAATACTCTCATTAAAAAATTGGAAATAATGTACTTTTCCCATGAAAATTCTAAAGACAAACTAAAGCAAAATACATGTAATATTTACAAACATGTATCTCTAGGTATTTACATACCTATAATCTAGAAATCAAGATTAAGGTACACACTATATGAAATAGTAATTAAACTTCAACAAATTCCACTTTTCAATTTATGAAATTTATGGATTATCATTTTTGAAGGTTTTTTTCCTTTATTCATTTTAGATTTGAAATTAAAACAAAATCTTATATTTATAAATATATAAAGAATTTGTGAAATATAACTAGCATTTAAAGATGTGTGACGTGTAAATAAAAGCAAACAATACTATATGCAGCTATATGCATAATATCTAATAATCTATTGTCTACTTTTATGTATATATATTTTCTTATAAAATTATGTGATCTTAATTTGCATCTAGCAAATTATTTTCATCTAACTAACAGCTTTGTTTCTACATTATAGATAAACTATATATTTTCACTTAAACTGTATAAAACAAGTTATAAACTATGGATATCTATATTTAAAAGAAATCATTACATAATACCTTGCCATCGTCAGAATATACAAACATATTTCTTGTTGTTCCATCCTTTATATATGTTATTTGCATTGCATTGGCACTGTTGACTTTCATTGGGCAAAATGTTGCATTAAGTTCTGATATTCGTATCACAGCTTTAGGTTCTTTGTGCTGAATAGAAATGAATGTA